TCATATATACATATACATATATATAATTAAAAAAATTAATGAAAATTATTTATTAAAACACCGAAAGTTAGTTTTAAGGTGGATGGACTAAAATAAAACCTTTAAATGTTTACCTAAAACAAGAGTATATAATATTAAAGGGGCATGGACAGAACAAAAAGGTTCGTTACCTTTTTGGTTTCTACTTTCTAGCGAAATTAAGTGCAGTTGTCCATGGAGCAGAAAATTCATGCGCGGCCACAAAATCAGGTTTGCGTTTGTTAACACAACATTTTGTTGTATTTTGCGTTATAGAAATTTCTAATTATCTACTGAATTATTTTTATTATAACACATACTTTAGATTACTAAGGAGTTTGATGCGCATGCAAGCACAAGCATGCAGTACATTTTAAGTCTGAGTTGACTCACTACATTGGTGCATTAGATTACTAGTATAGTGAGTATGAAACTCAAACTCACGAGAAATTATTCCGTGTGAAGTACCGACGGGAAAGATACGTCCAGACTGTAAGTGTACACACTGTATATATTGTGTATAAACAATGTGCATACGGAATTAATATTTTTGTACATAGTGTGTACACACACAGTCCGAACGAATCTTTTTCATCCAGATTCCGCACAAAATAATTTATCCAAACTCGCATATTAACAAAAAGTTATTTGCCGACTCTACGTCGCATGCCAACTTTACCTTGCCCGGCGGATAACTCAACATCATGCATCTCTATCTCTAAGGGAGGACCACAAGAATTTTACTGGTGGCCTCTATCAGTTTCCTGCACTATTTTGTCAGTAATCTCCACCTCTAGGGGAGGATTAATCTGATCATCTTTATTGACATCCACAGCTCATTACATCAATTTGTGATTGTCTTCAGTTTTTGAGTCATCTCCATCACAACAGTAAGACCAAACCAACAATAGTTTGCAGCTTCTGCCATCTTTTTGCATTGCTCCCCAACCTCCTTTAGGTCGCATCACATTAATATTCAAAAAGTGGACCGTTTAAAAATATTGATAATTGCCAGTATTATGACCTTCAATCAGTTTTATGTCGTTATCCTCAATTTGTACTTTCTCCACCTCCAAGGAAGGATGATTTCCATCCTCTTGATTAACTTTTATGACCGTTCTCCTAGAAAAATTATTATGTGCGGTGTCTGAACGCGTCCGGATATCAATCTGGATGGACGTCCGGATTAACCTCTGGACGCATTCGGACACTGCATATAAGAATCTTACATCCTCTACGGCCTAATATTTCACCTCAAGGTCATGCAATCTTTGCCATCAAGAAAAAAATAGTTATATCACTTCCATATTTCTCACTAATATTATTGTTCGCCAACACTAAGGATTACTAGCAACATCTCATTTGATCACTTTCATTTATTCTCTGAGTTCAAGGGGTCATAGCTATTGTAATTTTGTACCAAATATCATTGGAATTTCTTTCCCATTAAACTATTTTACCTAACATATTCATGGTTATAATCCACCAAGTAATGTGCATGTTTATCTAAGTTTAATTAAATTTTCATATAGTATATAACTATAAAAAATATTATAAAGTAGGCGGGTTAGATTCAGGTCAAACTTATTTGGGTTAAATCAATTTCATATCATACTTGAACCGAATCATCATCGTAAATTGACACCCAAAATTTTATACCCTCACCATAGAGTAAGTTTTAGTAGTTACTCATAATTATTGAAATACATATACTGTCTAGTTCATACATACTACAAACAAAATTAAAAAAAAAAAAAATTAAGGAAAATCTATTTAAGATTGCTGGACAATGGAGCCAAATAAAACCTTTAAATGTTTGCCTAAAAACTTGAATATATTTAAGTAGATATGGACATGTTATTTCCCTTTTAGATTATAGTAAAACTAAGTTTTCATTTAGAATGATTTTCTTACTGCTTCTTCTCAAAGCAATTTTTTACTACAAAAATTTTAATTTGAAAGCTAATGCGAATATTATAAACATACTATTTTAAAAAAAATTGAACAATTACTTTCTTAAAGCTATCATATATTAATAACTCTAGCCGTAAAAATCAATTTTTCAGCAGTAAAGAAATTTTTAAAAAACAACAAGAAAGCAGTAGCGTGTACTTTTTCAATAAGAAAATTTTCCAAACAATCACTATATCATTATAACAACTATGATCCACCTAAAAGGATTTTATTTGCGTGTATTTTTTGAGTATAGGGTTTCTCAAGATGTAAATATCACCAGTGTAGAATCCTATGACCTTCCTTTCAATCAGGCTGACAACAATGGGCTACCCACTCACAGTTTCTATCAAATTATATATTGAAAATGATGACTTTGGATGTGTATAGATTGATATCGATTCAAATCTTTTTTTTTTTTTTTTTGGGACAGGGAGTATCAGTCTTCGGCCACTAATCTTCCCGGTCGACCTGGCGGACAACCCACCCCATACTCCTCCGGACCAACACTTAAGGCTTTGCACGAATTGTCATGGGATTCGAACTCGGTACCTGGCCTAAGACAAGCCAGCTCTTTACCACCAAAACAACCCGTGGTGGGTTATCGATTCAAATCTTATTTATTTTCAGTCTCGACTGATTGTAACAGTTTAATTCTACCGAGGAAATCTAGGCTTTCACTCAAAAGCCATTAAAGTTTGAAAGAGACTTTTGTTAAAACGGTTGAGCATTAAATTCTACTGATGAGATTTCAGCAAAATTTATGAGAGTTGTAACTTTAATCCTTGAATACATCAAGGGAATTGGTATATGTACATTGGAACCTTCAACTTCTTGCGGCTATGAAGTTGCAGGGCATGTGACAATGTTTTATTGAAAATCGGATCGAATCGATAGGTTCAACCGGTTTAAACATGAACCGATTGGGTGGCCGATTCGATCCAGCTTACAAAACCGGCTTCACATTGAACCGGCAAAAATCAGCGGTTAACTAGTCTGAGTTGGGAAGAACCGGCTGACTATATATATTTTTATTTTTAATAAAATTTTAAATAATATATTTTAGTTTTAAATTCTTTTAACTTTTTTTGAATCTTTTTATTAAATATGTTATTAATTTTTAACAATATTAATATTTATTATATCATCCGGTTTGACCCCGATTCGAACGGTTGAATCGTGAACATCTCCTTCTTTTGGTTCGTTGTCCAGTCAGATTTTCACAACCTTGATTTAATGATGTGAGAAACAATGTGAAGACTTCTTATGCATGTTTGTAGAGATTAAAAAAAAAAAAAAACTCCTTAGATTAATATGGATGTTATGTTAATCTTATCTAATAGCCTAGATTACTACTTATGAGAAGCTATAAATAGTGATCTAAAGCATGTTGGTGAGATCTTTTGATTTCGATGAAGTTTCTTCTTTCAAAATTTAATCTTTTAGCACTTGACAAACGCGAATACTTGATTTCAAGAAAGCCATCTCTACTTGTATTTACATGAGATTTGAATAATTGCATCAACTCTTTCTTCAACATTTGCCTAACATTAGGTATTATTCAGAATCATAGCTAAACAATCAGCTATTTTCTCCCCAACCACCTTATTTAATACCAAAACCAGCCAACAAAATCTGTGGCACCCTTCAAGATACAACTAATCAGAAGTGGAGCTATACCCCCTTTCATTTTTATGTTGATCTTTCATCAATAGCTTCATTTATATCTAACACATGACTTCTCTAAAATTCTATCAAATACTACAACAACAATAACATCAAATCTTCATCCCACTCTGTGGGGTTGGCTACATGAATCATTTTTCTCCATCGTGTCCTGCTAAGAGTCAAATTCTCATTTAAATCTAATAAAGAAAGACCATTTCTAATATTTTATAACCAAGGCTTTTTTAGGTCTACTTCTACCTTTCTTAACATAAACCAAATCTAATACATCAGAAGGCTGCCGTTTTATGCTACTCCAACCTTTTCACATACATGCTCATTTCGTATTATGTCTCTAAGAGTAAAATCAATCATCCACCTAAGCATTCTAACCTTTGCAACAATTAACTTAATATTATGCTTCTTTTTTAATGACCAACATTCTATGCCATAAAACATTGCAGGCTTCACCACCATCTTATAATTTCTCTCTTAAGTTTGAGGGGAATTTTTCTATCACACAATAAGCCCAATGTATACCTCCGCATTAACCATCCAACTTGAATTCTACTGATAATATCTCCATCTATTTTTTCATCACATGTACTCCTATTATGACTTGATTGCCCAAAGTCACAAATTCCACCACAAAATCTATTACTATTAAAATTACACTCCACATATTCGATTTTAAATCTACAAAAACAAAAACCTTTAGACTCTAAGGTTGACCTCCATAATTCAAGTTTACATTCAACTCCCTCTCTAATCTTATCAACAAGAAGAATATCATCAGCAGAAAATATACATAAGGGTACAACCTCTTGCAAATGTCTAGTGAGAACATCCATGACTAAAGTAAAAAAAGATGCAAACTTAAGGCTGATCTTTGATGTAATCCAACATAAATAGGAAAATACTTAGTCAAACAACCTTACGTTTGAACTCAAGTAACAGCTTTGACATACGTATCCTTAATAAGTTGAATATAAGCATTATTAACCCCTTTCTTTTTAAAATCTCTCCATAGCACTTCTCTTGGAACCTTATCATAAGCTTTCTCTAGATCAATAAATATCATATGTCATGATTATTCAACAAGTTTTATTTTAGCTGTCGACTACCTAATGCAATTCTTTACTTTTTGCATCCAAGATTTGGGATCTAACAATGGAAGTGTTAAAATTAAAAACAATTAAACACATAATACTATTAATACCTGTGCAGCTGTGCCCACATTTTTCATGAGGAGACAGCAACATGTGTAAAGGATTTAATTTCCCAAATCAAACAAGCAACTTTCCAAAGACCGACAAGCATGCAATTAATTCTGCACAGATTTTTTTTTTCTTTTCCTTTTTCTGTTATCTGAAGAGTCATTTAATACATGGGCTTCTTGTGGCCTTAAGCATTTTGCCTGCTTCACCTTCAACCTATAACACCCACACATAGTTCAGAGATAGGCTATATAAACACATAACCTAACAAGACCTATGCATCTACATTCCTCTCAAGTAAATTAGCTATCTGAGAGTTGGCTTGAAAGGATAATCAACAAGCATGATCAAGGGATTTCTTTATCATGAGCTCGAGGCTGATGTACCAGCTGATGATCTGTGGGAGGTCTATGGCACTATTCGACTCGCTAAGGTTGTTATGGACTTGATTCCTCATGTAATACTTAAGGTAGAAGTGGAGGAGGGAGATGGTGGTGTTGGAACCATTATACGCACTTCTTATCCACCAGGTGCTGTATCCCTTTTCCAAGAAAACTAATTTTCATAACCAGTTTGTAACTACAGAAGAATTTAAGAGTAAAATATAAATAACTTTTCATGTTAACAGAATCATCAGGTCCTAAGTACAGCAAGCAGAAATTTGTGAAGGTAGACAACGAAAAGCATGTAAAAGAAATACAAGTGATAGAAGGAGGACTAATTGAACTGGGTTTCAGCTCTTATCTTATTCATTTTGAGATCATAGAGAAAGAGAAGTCTATTTCCATCATTAAATCTAGTATACTCTATGAGCTTAAAGATGACCATATCGATGCTATTTCTCTTGCTTCCATTGTTCCCTCAGTGCACGTCGCCAACACTGTTATCAAGCATATTAAGGAGAGCAAGATTTGATTAATTAGTTATTTAGGGTTTAGGTTGCCATTATAACTATATGTGGCTTGTATTGTGATTGATTATGTATATGGTGTTTTGTTGATCAAAATGTCGACCTCATTAATACTTTGGAGAAGGCATCTATATGATGTTGTGTGTGTAATTAAGCCGTGTATGCAGTAATCAGCTTATTACTGAAGGTGTGTTAGGCGAAAGCTAAGTTAAGGATCCTCAAGGATGATTGATGTATGATAAGTAACCATGTTTATAGTAAATAAGGCAGCAAATGGACCACTTGTTGTATTATTTTTAGTAGACTTAAATGCTATTTATTTCTGTTTGGGAGAAAACTTAATTTGTCTCAGCAAAATTATTTATTTATTTTGGAGATGTAAACATCATAAGTGTAGCTTTATGACCTTACTTTTAAACACACTGGAAACATATTCAAGAGTGGCCATCAAATTATACATTGAAATTGATTGGTTTAAGTTTAAGAGATTTCAATTCAATTTCAATGAAACTTACTAGTTTGGTGCCCCAATCAAGTCCACTACAGCTTTTTGTACTGAAGAAAGGGCTTTCAACAGCTCAAACGCAATCCGATATGGTAAGAATTCAGTTAGATACATCGCTCTGATAACAGAACATCTTCAAGGACTAAATATCCATCCATGGATATTTATAAGTTCAAGGTTGTGGAAAAATTCATCTTATCTGCAGATGAAAATAGATTAATAGCATTGTGAAGAGAGCAACCAAGAAAGTTTGAAAATACAAGGAAAACTTGCAAGTTGAAACAATTTCACTTATCAAGTGTGTGCTGAAAAGCAAATGATATAACATGCTGTCGCCATTTGGTAATCACAATAGCTTTCTTATCTTCAAGTGCTCAGTTAGAAATTAAAATACATGATCCTCAACCTTTTGCTGGGAAAGTAGTCCATGAATTGAATTTTCAAGACAGAGCAACTTCAGGACGATTTTAAAATTTAAACATTTTGGCAGATATCATTCTCAGCATTGAGGATTCTCTTGTTCTGTGTAAGTCCAAGGCTGTGGTTTTCTTTACACCTGGACCATCTTGAGTTCCTATTGTCACCACCCTTCCACAGCTTTGCAATAAGCATTCTTAGGAGGCTCATGAAGTATGCGGCAAATGCTGCTAGAACATCCCTGCATGAAAAAATAATGGTTAATGATTGCATGAAAAATAATGGTTAATGAAAGGGTGAAGTGGCGATTACAAGAAAAGCCATTGTATCATTAGTAATGAAATGTCCTTGAAAAGAAATGGTTATAGATTAGTCCCAATAATCCAATCGAGAGCACTACGATTTGTGCTTCTACGCATCTCCAACAAACATATCTAAACTTCAAATCTACATCTACACTTCCATTATCCCATAAGAATATAATGATTCAACACCAATCTTGAAGGCAATTGCCTCAATCCATGTCCCTTTGATTGTCAAAAGGACCAAAATCGTCATAATCAAAGGAAGAAAATATACTTACCCCATGAAATAAAGACTTTTCACATAACTTCCTATGAGAAAAACGACATGATGCATTGAATAAGATATCCCCCTAGGGGCCCCATCGTCAATGGGTCCATTATGATTCTTCCCAATTTTCAATATTCAAATTGGGTCATCTTATTCCTGTGTTTCAAGATGTTGCTATGGATGCTTATGACGGATCCAATGATCTATAAGAGAATATGAAACATTATCAAATCATTATGCATATCCTGAATTATCTCTTCTGCACTCCCCATAATGCTCAAGAAACTAACCCAAACATAGTTACCTTCCCATCCTTGTGGTGCCATCAACACATTTATCAAGTTTCCTAAGCTCTTCTCATTAATAGAATAATTATTTAGGATTCCATTCATTTCCTTTTATTCATCTATTATTCTTTAAAATGATAAAGAATCTCTAAAAGACAACTTAAGATTTTCAACAAAGGCCCAAGAAAATTCTAAAAAATGGCACAAATTTCCTCAAGGGAGCCTTCCTTAGATGACTTTGACAAGGACCATTTTATTCGATCCTAATGTGAGAAATGGTCCACAATTATGCAAAACACATCCATCATATTTGTAAAACCCGAAAATCTTATTTTAGGCTTAGCACGCTTTTTAAAGCGCCGCGACGAGAATTTAAGTGAGATTTTCAAGGTTATCGGAATGCAACGAAATTAATTTTAGAAAATCCTACGCGAAATTCTGATCGTTTTAAACGGCGGAAGTTTTCCGCCTGGGCGGAGGCCGCGCGAGCCGCTTGCCTTGCGGGAGCGTTTTAGGAAGCGTTTTTTAGGGTTTTGAGAGGGAAATTTGAATGTATGGACTGTTTAGGGAATTCCTTTTGTTTTGTATGCATTAAATAGTTGGTTATCCTAGGATTTGGGTATCTTGAATTTGGCTGAAATTTGAGATATCTTACATTTAGGTTTCTTTGGGCTCTAGCGGCGTCTAGAGATTTGGGAGAGATCGATCCTCCTCTCGAATTGAGGATCAATTGTATCTTGGCTGTTTTATTCTTCTATTAGTGAAATACAATTGTTTTGCTTGGTTTTATTTCAGATTTCCACTCAAATTCCTCTATTTTCTCTGTTTTTGAGCTGTTTTCCTGCTGTGGACAGCAATATCCTTGCTGCAGTTCACTGATTTTGGCTAGGAATACTTGTGAATACAAGTGGTTCCTATCACAATCGATGCCCATTGCCCAAAGACAATGATTTTCTAAAAACTCCAACACAAGGAAGAATCACAAAAAGGAACATGTCAATGCTTCTTGCTATGCTAGAAAAAAAAATAAGGCAACCTAAAAATCAAAATATTTCTTAGCCATAGAAACAAAGGAAGCAACAATACAAGCGGAGTACACACCGCTCAATACCTCACGTTCTAATTTCCTATTAGTTATACAAAACAATAAGCATGTTAAGCATCCTAATATTTTGCAGAACCACATTAGCATGCGGGTGTCCACCCTAAAAAAATACTTATCACAGAGGCAAAATCAAAAATTCGCCCCCCGAAAAAATTTAATTTGCCTTATTGCCCCTTCGTACATTGTTCCGCCATTCAACCTGCATGTTGCGTGCGTGTTGACTGCATAACAACACACTATCTCCCTCTCTTCCTCTCGAGACTCCAAAAGCGATCAAAGTGCAATCGGCCCACTACTTAGCCTCCCTCTCTTCCTTCCACTCGAGACTCTATGACAAAAGAGCGATGTTAAATGCTCCGCCTCATCTCACCTGATGTTGCTACTCCGGTGCTCTGTCTCGTCCTCACACATGTTTAGATGTATTTTTATCACCATCTATATGGCTTAAAACATTTATGAGTTTTTTTTTTTTGCATTCTTTCTTAGAATCATTACATCAAAAAAAAAAAAAATTCCATCTTGCTAACACCCAGAACATAATGACATTTTGTATAGTTTAATTTCATATTAGAAACTAATCAGATATGCTATTCTTTCATGGTCTCTTGACTTGTTGTTTACTTGAAGAATGTTTTGCTGGTGGATTGTTGTTTCAGTGGAGCCAGAACAAACCAGTTTACCTGAATACTATTAGATTTGTCTTTCAAAATAGTTGGTTGTAAATTGCCAGAGTTACAAACTAAATCTTAATGCTGAAAGTTTCTGATAGAAAACACTTGTAAATCTCAAGTAATTCCTATTAATCTTTGAAAAACAACGAGATTTCTCCACAAAAATCCACACAAAACTAGGAAAACAATAGATAATTTGTATTAATTGATGAAATGGAAACGGAAAATACCAATATATAATTGATCCTCTATTCGAGAGGAGGATCTATCTCTCCCAATTCTCTAGATGCCGCTAGAGCCCAAAACCTAAGAGAGATCTCAAATTTCAATCAAATTCAAGATGTCCTAACCCCAACAAAACATCTTACTTAATACATAAAATTCAAAATGAAATATCTAAACAGCCCCTACTTTGAAATTTCCCTCCTAACTCCCTAAAAAATCCTTCCTAAACAGCTCTATTAGCTCTTGTAGTTCGAGCAGCAGTACAGGAGAGGCGGAACTCTTCCGCCTCTTTCTCTGTGAGTCGGGCCTGTGTGGACCAGCTGGACCGATCTAACAATACCTCCATCCCAAAGACCCACCTTGTCCACAAGGTGAAAAGGCGACACGCTCCTCCATTCCCTCTTTATCCCAAACGGTAAGAACCTGAAGAGTTCGATCCTTACATATGTTCCCCGGCGTATACCTCTCGTCACATCTGAAACAGAGCCCCTTCGCCCTTTTCTCATATAATTCCATTTATGTGAGCTTCTTAAAGTTGTCCCTAGGTTTTCCACAGACAGTCTTCTCCTTCGAGGTCTCCTAAAGGGTACTCGGTGCCGACTTCTTGAATGCCAAAAAAGTGGTAGTCATGTTGTACGTGCCTTCCGTCCCTTTCTCAAGGTGCCTCTGATCCTCTACCAATTGAGCCAGCTTCATAGTCTCTCCTAAGTCATGAGGCCTCATCACTCTAATTGCCGCCTAGATTTTTGGCTTCAGTCCCTTCATGAAGTTCCCCTCTAGCACGGTCTCAGAAATGTGCTCCAATCGGCTAGCAAGGTACTCGAATCTCCCCCGGTACTCTATCATTGAATCATCTTGTGTCAAGGCGAATAACTGCTCGTAGAAGTCTCCTCCCCTGCTGGTTTGAAATCATTCTAGCAGGCAATCCTTGAACTCCCTCCAACTCCGTATGGATCGCCACATGTCCCTCTATTGTTACCAAGCCAAAACCTTCCCTTCTAAACATAGGCCAACTGTCAACTTAATGATACTAATGTACCTTTCCACCCTGTAGATCCACCCATGTGCATTCTCTCCCTCAAAAATAGACATATTCAATTTCATCACTACCAGATCTCCTCCATCAACCCAGCTTCCTCCAAAATTTTCCATCCCCCAAGGGGGTGGTTCCCCCCAAATGTGTCAATCATCCCTCCTCCGCTCGTACTTAAACCTTTCATCACAAGCCCACCTTCTCCCTTCAAATTCAACACCCCTTCAATCATATTCAACCCCTCTCCTTTTAAATTCGACACATCTTCGATCATAATCAAGTCCTCGCCTTTCAAATTTAGCCCCTCTTCTTTCAAACTCAACATCCCTTTTACCTTCTACCGAAATCCTCCCTGGGAATAGGCCCTAGGGGAGGCATTTTTTATGTTCCTTCTGAAATTTCCATCTCCTGATCCTCCCTTCATCTGATTGACTTAAGGTTTTCTCCACTTCTCTGATTGTCAGTGACTTCCCTCACCTCTGATGACATTTTTTTGGTTTGGCCCTCGAGCACTTTCCTCAACATCTCCCTCAGGATGGAAAAAATCGAATTGATCTTATAATGGATGAGTGAAATATCTTTCTTTAAATCTAAAACTCATGTTTGTAGATCTGAAATTTAAGATTTCATTTGTTTGATCTCCCCTTCCAATATTTCTTCCTTTCTTCCCGCCATATGTCCCCGGCTTTTGATAGTTTTCTCCCTAAAAACAGCAAACACCTCAGTCCAAAGTAGAAAAATTTGCTGCATGAATTCTCTAAAAACAACCCAAAAGTAGTCCAAAAGCCTCTCTGATACCAATTTGATAATAAACACTCGTAGATCTCAAGTAATTCCTATCAATCTTTGAAAAACAACAAGATTTCTCCACAAAAATCCACACAAAACTATGAAAACAGTAGATTAATTTGTATAATTTGATGAAATGGAAACGGAAAATACCAAGATACAATTGATTCTCTATTCAAGAGGAGGATCTATCTCTCCCAATTCTCTAGACGCCGCTAGAGCCCAAAACCTAGGAGATATCTCAAAATTCAGCCAACTTTAAGATGAAATAACCCTAGCAAAACACACTACTTAATACATAAAATTCAAAAGTAAATCTCTAAACAGCCCCTACTTTGAAATTTCTCTCCTATCTCCCTAAAAAATCCTTCCTAAACAACTCTGTTGGATCCTGCGGTTTGCACGACAGTACAGGAGAGGCGGAACTTTTCCGCCTCTATCTCCATGAGCCGGTCTATATCTGTATGAACCGGTCTAATAATTTCAAATAGTCTGGAAAGTAATTAACAGAGGCAAATTAGGTAAAACTTTTAAGATAGTAGAGCATGTAACATATTGTCAAGGGAATTAGTCGGGATATGGACGAAGCTCCTTATATAGTTTTTTATGCAACTCTAATATAATTTGATTGTCTTCACAGATACTTATTCAATTAATTTTGTTTTTTGGGTGTTAACTGGTGTACTTAAATTTTATTAAGAACTATTGATATTATAACTATTTGATATTATGACTATTTTCATGTAAATGTCTGTAAAATTAATTTGTTATGCAAGAAAATATAATTTGAGCAGTACTATGGACATTTTAGATTTTTTTTTCTCCTTAACAAAAATTAAGTGTTGATACCGTCTCTAGCTTCAGCTTAGGCACATGAACTAAATTGCTTAAGCCAAAAGCTGCTGCCTGTTAGATTTGTAGCATAAGGAAGAAAGAAGTGAGACAGGCAAATTTCAGCCTGTGGCATGAAAAAAAGTGATTTTATGGCCTGTCTCATTGACATAATATAGTAAATACTTGCAATTACATATCAAAACGCAACACAACATAGCACTACCAAATATCAAGGACTATCATTTCAAAGCTATAATGAGTCAACAAGTTCAGATAACCAAAGAAATTATTTATTGATACTTTAATTTCTTGCTAATCATAATGAAGAAATAAAGAAAGTTGCAATGGCAAATGCAAGCTCAAATTTGATGTTAACTTCACCAAAACTGCAAAAAGAACTTTGTAGTGTTGCACCTACTGAGAGTTTATCTTCTATCATGAAAAATATTGGTGATCCGTACTTCTCAATTTTAGTTTATGAGTCATGCGATGTCTCCACAAAGAAACAATTAACTATTGTTGTGAGATATGTAGATAAATTGGGCCAAGTTATCAAAAAGTTTATAGGTATTAAGCATGTTTCCTCGACCTATGCATAAGATAGGGCTTCAAATTCATTTCAAAATCACAGTGATAGATAACGTAGTTTGTCTATCAAAATACCTTACCTTTTGCTGATGCTATGGGAAACTTGATGCAAAGTAAAAGCTAGATGATTTTGTCAAATTCATTATCATAACGACATCATCATCATCATCAATAGTAAGCATTGCAGTATAATTCATTTCATGAATTTGGTATGTTTTTTATAATTGTCTGTCAATCATAACTTCAATCGTCAGGACCTCAACGTTTCACTCTAGAGCTCTCATTTGAGCTGGTAAACGGAAACTGCTATTTTTGCGAAGTAAAAGGTGCGCAAACATTTGTCGCGTCCATTTCATGATTAAAAATGACGGATCATGCAGCTCTATCAAAATATCTTCATCCATTAAACAATGCTAAAGAAATTTTTGATGCAAAATAAAACCTAAATGTTTTTATCAATTCCAACAACCTGAAGTTATAAAACAACACACATCAAAGGAATTAGATATGCATTTTCATTGAGAAAAGTTTACTTACAATGGCGAGCATGGAGATCGACCACCATTTACGTAGTACATAAACAGGAATGAGTCGTAGTGCTGTTCATTAATGTAGTAGAAATTTGATAATCTTCTTACAAGCCTAAATTGCATCTTTTGGTAGAAATGGATGGCTGGCTGATTGTAAGCGATAACATGCAAATACACTGCTCTGCAACTAGTAACGCTTGAAGCATATTTTATCACCTCCCGAACAAGTGAAGAAGCTACAAAAAAAAAAAAAAAAAGGGAGAGAAGCCATTAGATACATCAGCAAAAAAAGCAGTCAAATTTCACAAGCAAAAGAGAAATTTATACCTGTCCCAAGGTTCCTGTATTGTTCTACAACACCAAGTGTCAATATATACACTAAAGTTTGATCCTTCCTTAATGTGCCAAATCCTATTAAATCAGTAATCTGTACAAAAAATAGTAAGTAACTTCTTGTCTGTAAAAATTGCCTCTCAGTTTTGACTAATGTAGTTACCTCACTTTCTTTTACTGCAATGGTGCGTGTTGTGACGAATCCGATAAGCTCATCAACATGGCCATCAGGCCTGCTTATGTCAACAGCACCCCAAGAAACAATACCTTGGCCATTGACAACTTTGAGGAAGAATTCCCTCTCATACCTGAAAACATTGTAGGAGAACAAAGTAAATACTTCAAATATTTAATGACCATAAGGCTACATATAAAGCTAAGCCAAGTATAGTGTACATACAAACTAATGGTGGGCATGCTACCTGATTGGAAATAAAGAAGCATGAATCTGCTCAAGAACTTGAAGATCAGCTGGCCGAATTGGCCTGTAAATAATTGTTGGACAGTGTCTAATTTCTGAGTCAAACATGACAAGCCTCGCCACTAATCACGGGAAAAAAAGTAACTATGGTAAAGATGCATGCATAAGCATGCCATCTATGCCACATTAACTCCCCTGATTATGCCATCATAACAAACTTTATACTTTCCAGGCCCTACTCTCCGCCAGATCCCTATATTTATCAGTACAAAAGTAATATTAGTTTCCATGAGGATAAAATGAGCCATAGAAATGCAAAATCTAGGTCTTTGTATATGCCATTACTAATGCATGCTGAAACATTGGCTCCTTCGGAAATAAAAAGAATGAAAAGATATAGTTTCTAATGAGTTATTCTTGTACATGATAAAGAATTTTTGTCATCTTTTCATTCTAAATTGAAGTGAATTTACTCAAAAGAAAATAAGTTGCTAAATATCTAAACATTATAATGCTTACACAAATTCGATAATGCAGTGAAAAAATAGACATGATGAATTTAGCATCAACAAAAAATGTACCAAAAAAATGAGTTGAAAGATTTAATCTACAACAACAACAATATCAAGCCTTTATCCCACTATATGGGGTCGACTACATGAATCTTTTTTCTCCATTGTATCCTGTTAAGAGGCAAATTTTCATTTAAATCTAATAAAAATTTGTCATTTCTAATTCCAACCAAGTCTTTTTAGGTTTACCTCTACCTTTCTTAACATAGGCCAAATTTAAAATATCTACTCTCCTAACTGGTTCATTAGAAGGCCAATGTTTTATGTGACCAAACCATCTAAGACGACGACTCTCTCTAATCTTATCTATCACTGGAACTACTCCAATCATTTCACGTAAATACTTTTTTTAAATAAATATAAAAAATTTACATGTAAATACTTGTTTCAAATTCTGTCTCTAAGAGTGAAGCCACTCATCCACCTGAGCATCCTCATCTCTGCAACATTCAATTTAATTTTATGCTTCTCTTTTAATGGCTAAAATTCTGCACCATAAAGCATTGCAAGTCTCACCACACCATCTTATAGAATTTTTCCTTAAGTTTGAGAAGTATTTTTCTATCACACAACAAGCCTGATGCATTCCTCAACTTCAACTATCCTACTTGAATTCTACTAATAATATCCCCATATATTTCACCATCACTTTGAACAATAGATCCGAGATATCTAAAACATGTACTCTTATTAATGACTTAATTGCCCAAAGTTGCAGTCCCTCCACTAGATCTATCACTATTAAAATTACACTATATATATTCGGTTTTAGATCTACTCAAATGAAAACCTTTGGACCCTAAGGTTGACATCCATAGTTCAAGTTTACCTTCAACTCCCTCTCTATCAACAAGAATATCATAAAAAAAAGCATACACCATGGTACATCCTCTTACAAATATCTAATAGGACCATCTATGACTAGAGTAAAAAGATATGAGCTTAAAGTTGATCCTTGATGTAATCCAACTACAATAGGAAAATAATTGGTCGAACCACCTTGTGTTTAAGCACAAGTAACAGCTCTGATAAGAAACACTTGTGGATCTCAAGTATTTCCTATCAATGTTCAGAAAACAGCGAGACCACACAACTCCACAAAAAAACACGTTTTAATTTGTATTATTTGATGAAATAGAAATAGAAAATAGCAAAATACAACTGATCCTCAATTCGAGATGATCGATCTCTCCCAAATTCTCTAGACGCCGCTAGAGCCTAAAGGAAACATAAACCTAAGAGATCTAAAATTTCAATCAAATTCAAGATGCCCTAACCCTAGGAAAATAACTATTTAATGCATATAATCTAAAAAGAAATCCCTAAACAACACCTACTTTGAAATTTCCCTCCCAACTCCCTTCAAAAACCTTCCTAAACAACTTCTTGAATAGTGGGCGGTCGGCTCCTGCGTACAGGAGGCGGAGAATTGTCCGCCTATTTCGCATAGGCCGGTCCAGTATGGACCGATTGGACTGGTCTAACAAGCTCCTGCATACATATCCTTAATGACTTGAATATAAACATTATTAACCCCTTTCTTTTCTAGAACTCTCCACAACACTTCTCTTGAAACTTTACTATATACTTTTTTTCTAAATCAATATATATTATATGTAGATCCTCCTTATTCCCTCTATACTTCTCCATCAAATCTCTCAATAAATGTATGGCTTCTATAGTAAATCTAGCCGGCATAAATAAAAAATGTTGAGATACATTAGTATCACATCCTAATATATACTCAATATCTCTCTCCCATAGTTTTAAAGAATGACACATAACTTAATTCCTCTATAATTCATACACTCTTGTTCAATACCTTTATTCTTAAAAATAGGAATCAACACACTCCTCACATCATTTTAGTCTTTAAAATAATATTGAAAAATTTTGTAATCCAATAAATTCCTTCATCTCCTAAGCGCATTTCCACGCCTCTATTAAAATACTATCAGATCCAACAGCTTTCCACACTTCATTTTTTTAAAGGTCTCTCTAACTTGGATTTTACTAATATGCTGATAAAAAAAATTACTATTTTTATTTAAGATGCTAATATTCCTAAAGTCAGTCATATTCTCACAATCTTCATTAAAAAGCTTATCAAAATATTTCATCTACCTTTGTTTAATATCCTGTTAAATAAAAGTATTTTTTGATCTTCCTTCTTAATGCACTTTAATTGAAATAAATCCTTACTTATATCTTTTTTATTAACTAACTTATACATATATCTTTCACCATCATTATTATCTAATCTATTATATAAATCATTGAATGCTAAATTATTTGTCTCGCATATAGCTTTCTTATGCTCTCTAAGGGCCTCTTTATATCTTTTTCACTGTTCCGAGCTTTTACACATAAATTAATTTTTATAACAAGTTTCTTATTTTTTATCTTTTCTTGCACATTTTAATTCCACCACCAATTATTTTTACTAGTAAAAGATTTTCCTTTTGATGCTCCAAACACATTCTTTGCAATATTTTTAAAAATTACTAGCTATCTTTTCCCACATAATATTAATTTCTTCATACACCGTTAAAATCTTAAGATTTTGAATTTTGCTCATAAAAATATTTTTGTCGGTGTTCTTTAAATCTTGAAAGATTCAATCAACAAGAATTGCAAAACGAGTGGTAGACCAAAGGTTAACAAGAATAAAAATTGTGCTGAAGAGAGTAACATAAAATAAGAATTAACACTTAATATATGACTAAACATCATTGAATGAGCAAGGATTCATAAAGCCCACCTCCCAAATAGTTGAGATAAGATTAATGATATGAAGATGATAAATCACTTATAAACTATCTTAAATTTTTATGGGGGAGCATTGAGAAAAAAATAATTATCAGCTTAAGAAGATTTAATATTGCTTACCCCTCCTAGAAATTGGAACAAGAAAAAGGTGAAGATTAGGAAATGGGTTTGTAATGATTTTTAGTATTTTTTTTTTTTAGCCAGACATACAGATAATAAATTTTGCTCACTACTATCTCCTCTAACCAATAAGAAAAAGACGTGTGCAACTATACAACTTTTTAATTACTTCACCTATTTATTATATACTCAACACATCCTAGTCATCTTGCTGTCATGTGGAAGTTTGAGCTAGATGGGTTCGCACCTTGTCTCTGTGCCTCTGCCCAACTGATTTGGCTTAACCAGTGTCTTAATAGGTTGACTAGGGATCGATTAATTCAACTCAGGGAATCTTAAATGGGCTTTGGTTAAACCTAGGTTTAAAATTGCGCAATTGGGTACTGAGACATTTTTTTCGTTCGTGAGGCAAGTTGAGCTTTAAAACATTTTCAGGCGTAAGCCTCAAAATCAAAAAATTGTGTAGAGTGAAAATAAAAGTTAAAATTAAATTTTTTATGTAATACCAAAATAATATGCTAAAAGATGACATATTAATTTTCTATTAAACTAAGAATTAACAAATTGACATACATATGAAAAAACATTGCACAAGATATAAAATAGAATTAAAATTCAAATATTACAAGAGAAAAAATAACATAAAATACAAAAATTGTATAAATGTATCATATAACTTCAAATTCATCTTCAAATTCCTTCTTTCTCAGTATCCTACTCATCCACATTTAATTTCTAAAGAAATTTGAAATAATTAACAACAATTCAGAAATCATGTACACTATCATTGATGGGGACATCGGAGCTTGAAAAGTTTATCATAGGCGTGGCCGTCGATCTACGGACACGATCGTGCCGATGTATTTTTAAGATGTCATATGTATTTATATTTTAATTATTTATGTTCGTATTTGCTTTAGTTATTTTCCCCTTTTATCCTTTACTTAAGGGTGATCATGTGTAAGCCCAAAGGGCGACGACGTCTTTTATTTTGAGTCCATTATATGAGGCTATATACAGCCCTTATGTTCTCTTTTCATGGTTACAACAACAACATCAAGCCTTTATCCCACTGCGTGGGGTCGGCTACATGAATCCTTTTTCTCCATTGTGTCCTATTAAAAGTCAAATTCTCGTTTAAATCTAATAAAGATCTTTTCATGGTTAATGAATGAATAATAATAATAAAAAATTGCATTGTGAGTTCTTGTGAGAGCTTGAGAGAGTTTGGAAGAGAAGTCCCTTGGAGAGGGAATTAGATCACCCACCAACCTTGGAAGTGTCTGGGTTCATGGTTCTTTCTTCCATATCCTTCTTTCCCCTCTTTCCCTTCCCCTACTAGCCGTCGGCCTAGGATCTCCCCACTTCCAAAGCTGCGGGCCACCCCTAGCCATCCTCCCCACCGCCGGCTATAAACTCCCCACCACATCGCCAAGCCTCCATCCATCTATATCCTCCCTCCATCTATTCGGCCTCCCCTCTTACCCCGCCTCCACTCCACTAAACCACCTAACCCTAACCCTAGCAAATCATGGTTCGTAAATGGACCAAATTGTGTGTATAATGCAGCAAGGAAAGCATCCCTTATGATTAATTTTTTTGGCTTTAGTCAGCCAAAAGTACCTTTCCTTCATTAGCCCATCCATATGAAAAGTGGTGAGATTGAGCATATCCTGATAAAGAGTTCATAAATTTCATAAAATTTTTCCCACAAGGTTTTAGGGTTTAGGGTTCCAATTTCCCGGGTTGCCGCCGACATGGCGAAGGACACCGAGACAAATGGTTTGAAAGA